AAACAGATGAAGGGGTGGGTGTGTTGGGGGGACAGAAAATTGCAAGAAACAGAAATTGGTCCAGTTTTATTTGGAAGAGACAGTAAAATTAAGTGGATTAAGCAAAAATGGTGGTGGGACCACATCACTGAGATCTCTGAACTTCCTGTCAAGTGTAAACCAGCAAATGTACTCATCAACAGGATGCCATTTTCTGTAGGGGAATAGAATGAATGGGGAATTGATTTTGCAAAGTACTGGTGGGCCAGGTTAGAGGTTCACAGGGTACATGAGGCACAGCAGCAGTCATTAGGAGGCAGAAAAGGCCTTTTGCAGATCTCCTTGCAGAGATTAAATCTCATAACGGGAAGTACAGGAACAAAGGGGATGGCAACCTCTGGGAATCTAGCAACTCTAGGATCCTGAAGGGCAATTTATTTTATTTGTACTACATTCTCATGTTGACTTATACAGTCTTTCTCTGTTTCCTTTACCATTTTATGCACATTGCTGCCGTAATGCCCCTTTTCTCTACTTTTCTCCTGTGTCTTCACCTATCAGGAACATCGACTATCTTTTTTAGCTTTGTTAGTGGTGCAGTAAAACAGAGCCCTGCTACCACAGAAGACACTTTGTGATATTACCCAAGTGGGGTGGGGAGAGCTCCATTATTCTGAAAGGGCATATAACTTCCCTGAAATTTCAAGAAAAGGAAGTACAGGTGACAAAAACTCAAGTACCACTAACTACCTCCAAGTGTGCAAAAAAGATCACCAAGAGATAGTTCCCCCATGGAGGAGATAAAAAAAAAAAAACGACAGAAATGTGGAGAGCGATGAAGCAACTGAAGTCAGGTGGTGATGCTATGTACAACCTTTATAGCCAGAGACAGTCAAAGGGCTGCAGCAGAATTCTTATGTGGTCTGGGAAGGGAGAAGGCTATTAAAGACGGAGGCACTGGTAGAAAATTTGACATCAACCAGGGATCTCCTGTTCCTGTGTTATACTTCACCTCTGTCTTGTTCTCATCACCATAGGCATACCCACATGCAAGTGATAGATTCAACAGGAAAGATGACCTAATATTATAAAATATTGCATAGCATCATCTTATCCCTACAAAGTTCCTCTTTCCATGTATTTTCACACCTCTCAGTTCTGTAAGGTAGAATCACGTAATCTTGATTTTCCCTACACAACGTCATCAGATTTCTGACAGTTATAATTACAGACAGAATGTGAGTGATGGGTTCACAGCAATTTATTTCCATGACAGAAAAGTGGATCACCTCTACCTGAGAAGCAGGTGTATTGGCATCATTTGGAAAAGACTTCACATTCTCACTAAAACTGACAGATTTGTTCAAAATTTCAGTATGCCCCTTGCCACATATTACAGTGTGACTGACCAAAGACCCACCAATACCAGGATTTGAGTGTGATAACAAGCTATGGAACTTGTAGTAATAATTGTGTAAGAGTTATCATTTATATAAGGCTTTACAGTTTAAGGATATTTTTATTTACTTTGCTTCACCAGATATCTAAAACAACCCTGAAAAATATCACAAAATCAGTAAAAAGCATGCCTAGAATCCTGGTTCCTAGCCTAAAGTGGTTGTCAGACCTGAAACACATGGTTTAGAGACCTCTTTTAGAAAAAGAATATAAAACCACAAATACATAATTTGGTACAAAATGAACATTTACTTAGAATGAAGAAAGAAATCACAATAAATTATAATACAAATTTTAAAAGGTCAACAAATAGCACAAACATACAAATTCTAGGAAAATAATAAAAAATTTTAATAAATGCCTGACAAACAATCTAAAGACTTTTTTCCTAAAAGTTTTAGATGCAGACTCTTATGTTTTTAAATATAACCATAGTTTTGTGATACAATTTCCATACAGAAAGCACAATGACAAATTAGTCTTTTCCCTAGCATAGTTGATTGAAATGTTTATTATTGATCATTGAGATGCATAAAACATGATTCTTAGCACTTAGTTTTACTCTGTAGCAATGCTTCAGGTATGTGCTCTCATGCCAGGAAGTCTAATAATAAATTCCATTATCTCTAAAATATTATATGTACAGTACATTTGTAATTCTGTTTATTTATTATTGAGGCTGTTCCTAACAGGAGAGAACTTATCTTAGACTTGATCTCAATAAGAACTGAATCCTCTGCTTACAATTTTATACATCTGCTGAAAAGAATTTACCACAGACTACTTCTGGCTTTATATACTTCCAACCTTGTTTCTCATCAACTGCGCACATATGCCTTGTGATGGATGTCGTGGGACTCGTTCACCTTGTGGTATGACCTCTAGCCCTGCACCTTTTCGATATGACACCAGGTGTGTTGGCCCAGTGGGCAGCTTCCAGAGCAAGTCCTACCCTGAGTCACAGATGTGACTGCATATCTCAAATATACCTCCTAACCTGCAAACAACAAAAATATGTCTATCCACACGAAATATTTCTCTGATTATACTTCCCCTCACTGATATCCCCAAAATTTCTGTAGCCACACAAACATTGTCATACAAGAGGAAAGGGAGTTGGAAGCATCCCAGTGAAAGGAAATAGCAGTCTTAATGGGGAGTGGTCAAAATATCTTTCTTTACAAGTATTATAAAACCATATGGCCATATGAACACACTGCTAAGGCTATCTCTCTGGTCCTTGGAAAGGATTTGAGCAAAAGAGAGCACTGAAGTTTAAGTTCAATTAGCCTCATGGGAGGTCTGCCTTGAATCAATGATATATGAAAACCAGTAACAGTTATTGATTTCATTCACCTTTTCCATGTGTATCACAGGCGAAGAACAGCAAGTATAGATTAGTCAGGTTATAGTTGCTCATGCTTGATCAAAGATGAGAGTGTAAGGTCAAACAGAAACAAAAGAAAGTTTAACTGGGGAAATAGTTGGAATTCTAATGTAAATATAGAGAGAATCAGAGATGGGAATAAGGATCTGAACTCAAGGTCACTGGGTGAAACCACAGAAACAGCTATATCTACAATAGAAATGCCTTCTCCACTGGACCCTGGTTTATTGATCACACCTAGATGTTATAAAAAGACACATCCAAAGAAGACATTTAATATAAGAACCTGTCCACTCCAGAGCTAGTGGTGTTGAAGTTGTTAAATGATGACATAAACCTCTAATCACTGTGGTTCGGTTGACACTCTAGAAGCTTTTTTAGGAATTTCTTTCAAATCAGTAATTCTATCAATGAGTAACCCAGCTGAGGAGATGCTGTATCGTTAGTGCTTCAATGGGGATGCAGATAATGCCACTGACATAAGTATTTCTAAACATGTTCTTTTACGGCTATCAAGCTTTTTAAGCTTGAGAATTTACAGTCACTGGGAAGGGAGGGAGTATCAAAGGGAATTTTTTATTACCAGAAAAGAAAATAAACCTGCCCCCAACCCCTGCCACCAGCCAAAAACAAAACAAAACAAAACAAAACAAAACACCTCACATTTCCAGAAAAATATTGCAGCCCTTTTGGTTCCATCAGTAATGAAGGTTATTTAGAGGTCCAATGCTTAGTATGAATATTGTAACTGATATTCTCCTTGGAATATTTCTTTCCTCGGAAAATTCCAAATTCACAGGGTTCAGGTAGGAGTCAGACAGCAATCTGAACTCCACCTTCCAAAAAAACGGTGCCTGAAGAGTGATCCTAGGTCCATCTGCAACTGGAATTCCCAAGGGTGCCAGTTTAAAATGCAGAATCACCAGCTCAGACACTTAAGGATCTGGAATCTCTGCATGTGGTTCCACAAATATGTGTGGCTGTCAAGCACCCCGGGGAATTCTTATGACCGTTGTACTAAGTCCTGAAAGTGACAGAAGCTCCTCTAACGGAGGGGGGGGTAGATTCAAAACAGGGTCCTTAGGTATCACAAGGACAGCTCAAGGAATTACCTTAAGTCACAAGCTCAGAGTCTGATAATCCTAAAGTGAGGATGCTTGCACATTTGAATTCTCCCTTCGCTCCTCTCTGAGCTATCATTCCTGAAGATGAATGCCTTACTCATTATAACACCAGTTCACCTTTGCTGCTTGCTATTTCTGCTTCCTTGCTTTTTCTTTCCTACTTCTTTTGTCTGATGCAACTTCATTTTGGTATTATCATGTCCCTCCTATTCATTCTGGACTCACAGGACTAAATGAGATCAGAAACCCAACCAATACTTTAATCCCCTCTGTAATATCTCTAAAGAGTTACCATATGATTTTGGCTTTACTGACTCTATTGAAAGGGAATTCTGGGGCTGTTTGTTCCATGTGTAGGACCTACTATCCATTAGAACCCTCTTTCTTATCACAAAACAAAATATGTACCTCTACAATTAGCACATTGGTCATAGCTCTGCCTTCTGGAAATACACTTATGGCAATTGCATTCTTCTTCCACATGACAGCTTTGAGTGATTCAAACTGATGAGTGTTTAGCATTGAACATTTTGTAATGTATCCAGGATGAAGGTATTCTCTGAACATAAAATGGGAATTAACAGTCTCAATTGCCATTCCTGTGAAAATACCTTCATACCACGTCCTCATTAGATAAAACCTCCAAAACTGCCCTCAGAAAAATAATCTGTTCCTAGAATAAATTAGCTAAAAGCCTGGGGAAACTTGGTTTCATTTATTTATGTGTTTGTTGCAATAGTGGTCCTCTAAACAGCGGCAGTTTTCTCCCCAACCTCCCCTGTGCCACCCTAACTGCAGGGAACATTTGTCAATGTTTAGAGACACTGATAGTTATCACACTTGGGAGAGGGATGCTATTGCCATTTAGTGGACAGATGCCAAGGATGCCAACATCCTACAATGCCCAGTACACCCATTCCTCACCCCTCCATCCCTACAACAAAGGATTATCCAGACCAAAATGCCAAGTGGTGAGGTTGAGAAACCTTTGGTAGAGAAACCTTTAAGAAGTTAATACTGAAAAATGTATACAATGGTTACTTGCTACTCACTGTTTCTTGGGATTCCTTTCCAAACAGCTGAAAATTTTCACATTCCATGTCATCTTTCACCTGGAAAATTGTTAATATATTTTTATAAGTTAAGACCATCACTGACAATGTTATCAGTCACTTAGAAATTTATCTCAGGGGAAAGTGGTCACTATTTGGACATGTTTCTTTGAATTCTTTCGCTGTGTGGTCTCTAAGTGGTCTTAGATAATCAATCTGCCTCAACTTCTAAAATAAAACAAATGTCAGCACATGAGAGCCTGGCTTTGAGGTAAGATACTCAAAATAAGCTTCCTATATACACTCTATCTTTAACACAACTCCAACAAAATAAACAGTAATGTAAATATGTTCAAAGTATATACAGTAAAACCTTGGATTGTGAGTAACTTGGTTTGCGAGTGTTCCACAAGATGAGCAAACATTTCTAATACATTTTAACTGGGTAAACAAGTGATGACTTGCAATACGAGCAGTTTGTTTCTGGAATGAATTATGCTCGCAAACCAAGGTATTACTGTATTAACTCAAGGTGAAGCCAAAAGTAATTTTAAAAGATTACTGTTCATTTGCATTTTACAATCATTCATGATAGTGATATGAAAACAGAGAAGACGTGATACCTGACTTGGACAAAAAGTCCGGTGAGGAAGACAAAAATATAAACCATTTACTCAGAATAATAACTTTCCTTCTTATTCCACTAAAATAATAAAGAAATCAAAAGAGTCCTTCTTCATTCTCCTGCCACTGAATCTTTCAACCCACCAGTATCTGTAACTATGTGTGCTCTGCGTCCACACTGGCGCAATGGATTCACTGTCCATGTTCTATATGAGGCATCTTCTCTCATGTACTGGGTCCCATCTTTGCCTACTCATGGACTTTTCTCACACAATTATCTCCTCTCCCTCCTCCCTCATTGAATCATTGTTATCCCTTTTCTGTACCGTTGATATTATCATAAAAGCATACTATGCTATCTATCACAGCTAGTCCCAGTCGCATCTCTACCCCTACCCCTTTTCCACTCTCACTTCACCCTCTTAGCTCAAACTCTCAGCATCATTTGATATAGCTCATCACTCCTTCCTCCTTTATTATTATTTTTTTAACTTGAAATTTGATACACCACGTTCTCCTGAATTTTTTCTCACTTACATAGTTGCTATTTCTTAGGCTCCATTTCTGGATCCTCTTCATTTCCCCAACCTTGAAATACTGTGTCTCTTGTGGTTAGGTGATCCCATCCGTCCCAATGGCCTTCAATACATTCTAGATGCTGATGAATCCCAGGTTTTTATATCCAGAATGAAGCTCTCCTCAGAATCTCCATACTTTGTTCTAGGATAGCTAATGGGCCTTTCTATCTTAGCAGATCCAAAACTGAGCTCTTGATTCTCCCTCCAACCCTTTGCAAACATGTTCATCTTCTAGAGGTCCCTAACACACAAGTTATTGCCAGAAAGCATCTCAGGTAAAAACCTTGCCTTCACCCTTGAGCCATCCCTATTTCTTGTAGCTTTTCCTTCACTCTGTCAGATGAATCCTTAAAAAATTACACTCAAATAATATCCTGCTCCAAGCTATCTCCATCTCTCTCCTGGATTCATCACCTGGTGCCCCAAAAGTCTTCTGTTTCTGCTCTGGTAAATTGACAGACAGTTCTCTCCACAGTAGCCACAATAAATATTTTTAAATGGAAATTCTGCCATATCACTCAACTCCTGGACACCTTGCAGTAGTTTTCTAACACTCAGAATAAAATCCTAAATCTTTACTGCAGCCTATTAAATCCTACTTTATTTGGCTCTGGATATCTTATTCCCATTCCCTGCTGTTTTTCTCCTGCTCATGACACTTTGTTGGCCTCTTTGCAAATCACAAACACTCTCCTGCCTCGGAATCTTTATACTCATTTGTAACAACTTCCTGAAACAATCTACTTCCAAGTAAGCTCCAGTACTTTCATTTTTTATAATTTCATTTTTTATTCTTCTATATACAAAGCACATCTACAATTTATTTTTGATGAAGAATGTGAGATCAAAATACAAGCTTATTTTCTTATAGTTAGTTATCCACTTGTCCCAATATTAGTTATCTCAAAATCTATTACCCTCCATAGATTAAAAATGCCATTTTTGTTATATACTAAATTCCTGTGTGTATTTAGGCCTATTTAAATGTTTTCTAATCTGTCTCATGAGCAATATTTTAAATTCAGTGCACACTTCAAAATGAAAAATTTTAAAAACTTAACACTTTTTAACTTAAGAAGCCTATAAAGGGAAGTATTTTTAGAGTAGTGGAACAAGGGTCTCCAAAAACCTGCTTTCCATAAAATCAATTAGAACAAGAGAAAAAAATAAAATTCAAAACCAACTCTTTCAAAATTCTCAAAATTAACCAATGGTTTCCAACAATCCAAGGAACATTTATTTGAAAATATTGTATGAATCTTGGTAATAAACAAAACAAACCAACAGTGAGGTTTGTGGTATTTTAACTTGCCCTATTCCCATCCACTCTTCCCATCTCATAATATCCTTGAAAACCAGCAACCTTGTGGTCCACTGTGAAAACCATCAGACTGGAAGCCACTGAGTAGGTCAAAACGGATTTGAAATGCCCCAAGAAGTCCCTTTCCAGACAACTGTTGTTAGTTGACCTGCCTGGGGTTCCCTGAAAACTACCATTTGCAGGACTTGTATTTATTTGAACTAACTCAGAACTTAATACAGTGAGAACAGCCCTTTCTTTGTGGGAACATGCCTAAAATAGTCAGTGGCAACTGTTCAATACTGCAGCTGCTTGAGGCAGTGGTAATTGCTGGAACAAACAAAAGGCTGAGCAAAAAACATAAAAGAAAATGCTATGAATGAGATGTTCTCATGGGGCTTTACAAAGCTCTGGTATATTCCTGGAATCTAAAAGGCTATACATATGTGCAGGGCTGTACTCAGGAAAGACTGTACTCAGGGCTGTGTGTGTGCTGAAGAAAGATTTAAAAAGTGCCCAAGCTTTCACCTATGGCTCTGCACAATTCAGAAGTAAAAGCTAAGGCATAGTACAAATTGCAATAGCACTGAAGGCGTGCCCCAACATACATACAAAGCCCCTTGGCAAAGACAAAGACTTACTGATTCAAATTTAATATGTTTAGATGTTCAAAACAGTGGTGTTTTATTTTTTAAAATGTGAGGTCACCACTTTGAGCATGAAATCAACTTATTGGTGATTAGTATTTTTTCTAAAGTATTAGGAAAACTTTCTCACTTTAGAAGATCTTAACAATCTAAAAAATAATTTTATGGCCAGAATCCAACAAGAGATCTGCTTTGGAACTGTGCCCAAATTGGTGATGATTGCTCTAACATAGATAAATAAAACTTATAAGCACAAAAATAAAAAAATCAATTAAAAAAGGAGGTCTCTATCCAATTATCAGCTGACCACTGAGCTAACTAAACAGCAACTTTAGTGGCTACACATGACAGAGTACCGACAAAGAGAAAAACAACAAACCCTTGTGGAGGGGGCAGAGGTGGTCTTATTTCTAGAGTAATCATATATATCATTAAATATATCCAATTTTCAACAAAAAAAAATCACAAGACATGCAATGAAACAATAAACTATGTCCTCCACACAGGAGAAGTTAATAGAAACTGCCCCTAAGGAAGCCTAGATGTTAGAGTTAATAGACAAAGGCATTAAATCAGTTATACTAAATATGTTTAAAGAACTAAAGGAAACAATATCTAAAGAATAAATGAAAATATGAGAAAGACTTCTCACCAAACAGAAAATAATAGAGATTGGTAATTTTTTAATTTTTTTAAAAAACAAATTAGAAGTAAAAAGTAAATAAGATGAAAAAACATAGCAGAGAGGTCCAACAGCACATATGAGCTTGCAGGAAAAAGAATCAGCAAACCTGAAGATAGGTCAATTGAGACTACCTAGTCTGAAGTACAGAAACAAAAGAATAAAGAAAAATGAACAGAGACTCAGAATTGCAGGACAACAAATGCAAAATGATACTCTCAAAGGAGAGGAGAGAGAGAAAAGGGCAAAAAGAATATTGAAAAAATAATTGCTTAAAACTTCACAAACTTGATGAAAACTATTAATTTACCTATCCAAGAAGCTCAATGAACACCTAGATAAACTCAAAGAGAGCCACAACTACACATATCATAGTTAAACCTGAAAGCCAAAGAGAAAACCTTGAATGCAAGAAAGACATGACTAATTATGTAAAAGGGACCCTCAGTAAAATTTGCAGATGATATCTCTTCTTAAACTATGGAGACCAGAAGGTAGTAGGATGACATTTTCAAGGTATTGAAACCAAGGATTCTATATCCAGCATAACTAACTCTCAAAAATGGAAAAGTTAAGATGTCCATGGCTAAACACACACTGAGAGAATTCATTGCTCTCAGACCTGTCCCACAAGAAACAAAATAGGGAGTCCTTCAGATTGCAGTAAAAGGACCCTAGAGAGCAACTTGAATCCACAAGAAGTAATAACATAGAAAAAGGTAACTAAGTACAGATAAAAGAAAATAAGTGTACTTTTTGTTTGTTACTTTTTTATTCTCTTACCTTATTTAATGACAATTGAATAAAGCAATAATTATAAAACTGTGCTGATTCTTGTAATGCATAAAAAATTTAATGTGTAAAGATTACAATAGTGGCACAAAGAAAGGGGAAGGGAATGTAGATATATTGGAGCAAATTTCTGTATCTAATTGAAGTTAAACAGTAATCATAATCCCCAGGACAATAAGTAAGAAAATAACCTAAAATATATTAAAAGAAACAAGGGAATTAAAATATATATTAGAAAATATTCATTTAACACAAAAGAAGATTGGGGAAATAGAAGAAGAAAAAAGACATGTGTCATTTAGAAACAAAGAGATTAGGAAAGCAGATAAGAAAAAATTTCCAACTGTATGCTGTTTAAGAGACACACTTTAGAAGACAAAAATGGGTTGAAATTATAAGAATGGAAAAAAAGACAAACTACACAAAAGTAATGGAAG